CAGGTCATCTGATAAATTAAGAGTTCAATTCTATAGCGTCAGGTACTATAGTAACGGCACACGGGCTCGAACTGGGAAGAAAATTCGGCCCAACATACACGGGGCAATATCAGGTTATTTATAATATGAGCTAATTAAGCGACGGATATTAATTTGGCCTTTGATCATGAATTATTTAATTACTTATTATTAAAACTGCATGGTACATTAGTCTTAAGCAGCGAACTAGTGTTTACTGTAGCATTTGTGGCTACTCTATGGAAATATATGTTCAGAAAAGCCACGTACACAAAATGCATTTCTTTCACTCCCGAAATGCATTTCGTCCACAAAGTGACGTTCTTCCATTCTGTTCCAGTCCGTTTCCAATGAGATGTTGCATCCCTAGTTTGCGTGTTTACGTAGTTGCTTACGTAAGTTATAGAACGCAGGGAGGGTATAAATCTCGTCGTTGCTGAGGGAGAGTCTGCAGAATTCTCATTTTGTTTTCAGCTTACCAGCAAAGCAGTACTGACAATGTTCTCCCGCATCGCCAAATCAGCTGCGAGCATTGCTCGCAGCATCTGCAGCTCTTCCCGGAGCAATACAAAGGTGGCAGTGTTGGGTGCATCCGGGGGCATCGGCCAGCCCCTGTCACTGCTCCTGAAGAGGAGTCCCCTTGTGAGCCAGCTGTCCCTATACGACGTTGTCCACACCCTCGGAGTGGCTGCAGACCTCAGCCACATCGAGACCAGGGCGCAGGTGACTGGCTACGTCGGCCCAGAGCAACTGCCGCAAGCTCTGGAGGGGAGTGAAGTCGTCGTCATCCCTGCTGGAGTGCCCAGGAAGCCGGGGATGACACGGGATGACCTGTTTGACACCAACGCCTCCATTGTGGCCACCCTGGCAGATGCCTGCGCCCGCAACTGCCCTGACGCAATGTTATGCGTCATCACCAACCCGGTGAACTCCACTGTCCCCATCGCTTCAGAAATTCTTAAGAAGCATGGAGTTTACGACCCCAAGCGGGTGTTTG